CGAAGTAAAAAGAGAAGTAGAGATTGGAAAACTAAGATAGGGAAATTAATTATTAATAAAAATAATATACAAAGTTTAAATAGTGTATTAATGAAGATTTCGTAAAGATAGATATGGAAATCTTAAATTCAGCTTAGCTGAATTAGGTTTCCCGTAGGAAATCTTCAATTCAGCCTAGCTTAATTAAGGTTTCCCGTAGGAAATCTTCAATTCAGCCTGGCTGAATTAAGGCTTCCATAGGAAATCTTCAATTCAGCCTGGCTGAATTAAGGTTTCCATAGGAAATCTTCAATTCATCCTGGCTGAATTAAGGTTTCCATAGGAAATCTTCAATTCAGCCCAGCTGAATTAAGTTTTTCATATGAAATCTTCAATTCAGCCTAGCTGAATTAAGGTTTTCATAGGAAATCTTCAATTCAGCCTAGCTGAATTAAGGTTTCCATAGGTAAGCTTCAATTCAGCCCGGCTGAATTAAGGTTTCCATAGGTAAGCTTCAATTCAGCCCGGCTGAATTAAGGTTTCCATAGGTAAGTTTCAATTCAGCCCGGCTGAATTAAGGTTTCCATAGGAAATCTTCAATTCAGCCTAGCTGAATTAAGGTTTCCATAGGAAATCTTCAATTCAGCCTGGCTGAATTAAGGTTTCCATAGGAAATCTTCAATTCTGGCTTGGCTGAATTAAGGTTTCCATAGGTAAGCTTCAATTCAGCCCGGCTGAATTAAGGTTTCCATAGGTAAGCTTCAATTCAGCCCGGCTGAATTAAGGTTTCCATAGGAAATCTTCAATTCAGTCTGGCTGAATTAAGTTTTCCATAGGAAATCTTCAATTCAGTCTGGCTGAATTAAGGTTTCCTTAGGAAATCTTCAATTCAGCCTGGCTGAATTAAGGTTTCCTTAGGAAATCTTCAATTCAGCCTGGCTGAATTAAGGTTTCCATAGGTAAGCTTCAATTCAGCCCGGCTGAATTAAGGTTTCCATAGGTAAGCTTCAATTCAGCCCGGCTGAATTAAGGTTTCCATAGGTAAGCTTCAATTCAGCCCGGCTGAATTAAGGTTTCCATAGGTAAGCTTCAATTCAGCCCGGCTGAATTAAGGTTTCCATAGGTATGTTTCAATTCAGCCTGGCTGAATTAAGGTTTTCATAGGAAATCTTCAATTCAGCCTGGCTGAATTAAGGTTTCCATAGGAAATCTTCAATTCAGCCTGAAGGTTTCCATAGGAAATCTTCAATTCAGCCTGGCTGAATTAAGGTTTCCCTTAGGAAATCTTTAATTCAGTTTAGCTGAATTAGGCTTTTCAGCAGAATTTCTTTAAAAAATAATAAAAAAAACCTTTTTATTGCCTAACATTTTATTTCTGATCTTTCTGACCCACAATCACAAATTGACCTAAATTATTTCCGGCTCACCAATTGAACTATCAACAATTGCCGAGTGTATGAAGCAATAATAACAACGGCAACAACAAAAACAAAAAACGAGTGCGTGTGAATATGCCCCTTTTTGAGTATGACAAAAAAATGGAAACAAGACCAAACAGAAACAGAAATAATTCCGTAAAGACTTTCTTAATTGAAATTGAAAGCTTTTCAACATTGTTTCTTGATAATGGAGCCGAAGAAGAGTTACAAAATAATACAGAAAAACCAAAGCAGAGCAGAGTAGAGAAAGAAAAACCCCAAACCAGTTAAGCAATTTAATGAAAGCGAAAATGCCACAATTACTACACACATCAGCTGGATGGATGACAAGCTGTGGCCGGCGAACTGGTCAGAGATGGTCATTCATTAGCTCTATATGCCGCTGCTGCTGCTAATTTTTTGCACATTGTCTTGGCCAAGAAACTAATAATAATTACTTGTGGAACATGTCTCATGTTTTTTTTCGTTTTCAAGATTGTAAATTACAGTTAGGCAATTTGAAAAGAAAAAATAAAAAACTCGTAGAAGGTTAAGAGAACAACAAAACAAATTGTGAGATTTCATTTCGAAATCCGCACCTATAAACACATGTCAAAAAAGTATCATTGTTTATTTATTTTTATTTTCAATATTATTTGTTGGGGTGTCAAACATTATGCAAACTTAAGTAAATCGAACACAAAAAAAAAAACAGTTTTCAAAAATTCGTAGTCCAAACACGTTTAATGGACTAAACACAAAAACTGAATATTAAAACTCTGGGTCAGAAAAAAAAACAGCACACACACCCAACAAATTGATGGCCAATAAGTCACAAAACGTGTGTAGGTCATGCAATTAAAAAAACAACAACATTATGTTGTTGCTTTTGGCCATTATTGTTTGTGGTTAATTTCTTAAGGGAACAAAGAATTACAACCGTAATATGGGGCTGAATTGAAGCAATTCAGCTGGGCTGAATTGAAGATTTCATATGGAAACCTTAATTCAGCCAAGATGAATTGATGATTTCCTGCGGAAACCTTAATTCAGCCAGGCTGAATTGAAGATTTCCTATGGAAACCTTAATTCAGCCAGGCTGAATTGAAGATTTCCTATGGAAACCTTAATTCAGCCAGGCTGAATTGAAGATTTCCTATGGAAACCTTAATTCAGCCAGGCTGAATTGAAGATTTCCTATGGAAACCTTAATTCAGCCAGGCTGAATTGAAGATTTCCTATGGAAACCTTAATTCAGCCATGCTGAATTGAAGATTTCCTATGGAAACCTTAATTCAGCCAGGCTGAATTGAAGATTTCCTATGGAAACCTTAATTCAGCCAGGCTGAATTGAAGATTTCCTATGGAAACCTTAATTCAGCGAGGCTGAATTGAAGATTTCCTATGGAAACCTTAATTCAGCCAGGCTGAATTGAAGATTTCCTATGGAAACCTTAATTCAGCCAGGCTGAATTGAAGATTGCCTATGGAAACCTTAATTCAGCCAGGCTGAATTGAAGATTGCCTATGGAAACCTTAATTCAGCCAGGCTGAATTGAAGATTTCCTATGGAAACCTTAATTCAGCCAGGCTGAATTAAAGATTTCCTATGGAAACCTTAATTCAGCCAGGCTGAATTGAAGATTTCCTATGGAAACCTTAATTCAGCCAGGCTGAATTGAAGATTTCCTATGGAAACCTTAATTCAGCCAGGCTGAATTGAAGATTTCCTATGGAAACCTTAATTCAGCCAGGATGAATTGAAGATTTCCTATGGAAACCTTAATTCAGCCAGGCTGAATTGAAGATTTCCTATGGAAACCTTAATTCAGCCAGGCTGAATTGAAGATTTCCTATGGAAACCTTAATTCAGCCAGGCTGAATTGAAGATTTCCTATGGAAACCTTAATTCAGCCAGGCTGAATTGAAGATTTCCTATGGAAACCTTAATTCAGCCAGGCTGAATTGAAGATTTCCTATGGAAACCTTTATTCAGCCAGGCTGAATTGAAGATTTCCTATGGAAACCTTAATTCAGCCAGGCTGAATTGAAGATTTCCTATGGAAACCTTAATTCAGCCAGGCTGAATTGAAGATTTCCTTTGGAAACCTTAATTCAGCCAGGCTGAATTGAAGATTTCCAATGGAAACCTTAATTCAGCCAGGCTGAATTGAAGATTTCCTATGGAAACCTTAATTTAGCCAGGCTGAATTGAAGATTTCCTATGGAAACCTTAATTCAGCCAAGCTGAATTGATGGTTTGAAGATTTCCTATGGAAACCTTAATTCAGCCAGGCTGAATTGAAGATTTCCTATGGAAACCTTAATTCAGCCAGGCTGAATTGAAGATTTCCTATGGAAACCTTAATTCAGCCAGGCTGAATTGAAGATTTCCTATGGAAACCTTAATTCAGCCAGGCTGAATTGAAGATTTCCTATGGAAACCTTAATTCAGCCAGGCTGAATTGAAGATTTCCTATGGAAACCTTAATTCAGCCAGGCTGAATTGAAGATTTCCTATGGAAACCTTAATTCAGCCAGGCTGAATTGAAGATTTCCTATGGAAACCTTAATGCAGCCAGGCTGAATTGAAGATTTCCTATGGAAACCTTAATGCAGCCAGGCTGAATTGAAGATTTCCTATGGAAACCTTAATTCAGCCAGGCTGAATTGAAGATTTCCTATGGAAACCTTAATTCAGCCAGGCTGAATTGAAGATTTCCTATGGAAACCTTAATTCAGCCAGGCTGAATTGAAGATTTCCTATGGAAACCTTAATTCAGCCAGGCTGAATTGAAGATTTCCTATGGAAACCTTAATTCAGCCAGGCTGAATTGAAGATTTCCTATGGAAACCTTAATTCAGCCAGGCTGAATTGAAGATTTCCTATGGAAACCTTAATTCAGCCAGGCTGAATTGAAGATTTCCTATGGAAACCTTAATTCAGCCAGGCTGAATTGAAGATTTCCTATGGAAACCTTAATTCAGCCAGGCTGAATTGAAGATTTCCTATGGAAACCTTAATTCAGCCAGGCTGAATTGAAGATTTCCTATGGAAACCTTAATTCAGCCAGGCTGAATTGAAGATTTCCTATGGAAACCTTAATTCAGCCGGGCTGAATTGAAGATTTCCTATGGAAACCTTAATTCAGCCAGGCTGAATTGAAGATTTCCTATGGAAACCTTAATTCAGCCGGGCTGAATTGAAGATTTCCTATGGAAACCTTAATTCAGCCAGGCTGAATTGAAGATTTCCTATGGAAACCTTAATTCAGCCAGGCTGAATTGAAGATTTCCTATGGAAACCTTAATTCAGCCAGGCTGAATTGAAGATTTCCCATGGAAACTTTAATCCGATTGTGCTAGATTGAAGATTTCTTAAAGGAATCCCAATTCAGCTGGGCTGAATTCAAGATTTCCCATCGGAAACCTTTTTCTTTAGTGCTGAATTGAAGATTTCCCAAGGGAAATCCAATTCAGCTAAGCTGAATTAAGGTTTTCCCATTGGAAATTATTTTTTAATATCATTAAGGAATGGGTATCCTGTCTGCTACCTGTTAATTGTTGTTTTTGGTTTCCTATTTAGAGGTTAATCGGTCTTACCTTTAAGATTTGATTTTTACGAAAACACAGCTCATCATCAGCCGTTGCTGTAAAATCATGTTTGGCAACTGCTTCCATTGTTGTTGTTGTGTGTTTGTTGTGGCGGTATTGGCGTGTTGGTTTTTTGTTTGTTTTTCTTTTCGAGCTCTGTGATTCCTGATGCTGTGGTCAAATGTTGTGGAGTCTTGTTGTTGTTGTGCTTTAATCCTTTGTTTATGCTGGCTGACTGACTGATGAATATTCTTCTACCTCTTCTTCTTCTTGTTCTGATTCTTGGTAAACCCCTGGACTGTAGGGTTTTTTGTTGGTGGCTCTGGTTACTTGGCTGCTGAATATATAAATATGTTGGTATATGTATGCATGTACTTTTGTGTGTATGTATATAAATGAGAGCGGGAGTTGCTTTTCTTAATAAATAAATGAACACCAGAGAATATTAGAGCTGGAACTTCGGCTGCTGCTGTTCCTTGGTTTCTGTTGCTGTTGTTGTAATTTTTTAAAGCCTATATTGAAGAACCTTTTGTTTCTTTGTTGTGATATTTTTTTGTTTGTTTTGTTGTTATTATTCTTTTTTTCTTTTGCCTTATTTGTTATCAACTTTCGTTGTTGTTGTTATTGTTTTAAAAAATATATATTTTTAGCACTATCATAAATTATAAATTAATTTGCTTCTTCTTCCTTTAAACGAAAGAAAAAAATTATTACAATTAATTATTTTTTTATGAAACACTTTTTTAATTGCACAATTAATTTATTTTCGTATTTATTTGCCTCTGTTTTATTTTTAATTTTTTTATTTTTATACAAAAAATCCGATGATTTATTTTTATCCAAATTATGTGTGTCGCGCGCTCTGTGTGTTCCACTTTAAAAACCAAAAAAATGTTGCCGGCGACCCGACCGACGACCGTGATAGCTTTGCTTTCGAGTTTCAATTTCCTAAAAGGCAGGCTGGGCGAATTACGCGGGCGAGTGAGCGAACTACTCTGGGTTGTCTACTTTCAGTGCAAAAAACTATTGCCGGACGTTTCGTTATTTTTTCGGATGGGTTTGGTGCGCTGACGGTGCTGATGATGAAATGACACCAATCACATTACTACTTGTCGCACACATTCAGAGTCAGTCAATGGGAGCAAATACACACAATTATAAGTTTATTTATTTTTTCGTTTTTGCTGTTGTTTTTGTGGATTTTATTTAAACAAATAAACCAAAAAAATTATTCGAGAAATTTACAAAAAACCAAACTAAATGAACAAAAATCCACCGACGACGACATCTATACCACCAACAGCGACTCAGAGTTACGTGGTGTGGTTGTGCTGCTGCTCATATGAATGTATGTTTTTTGTTTGCCTTCTTGTTGTTGTTATTGTTAAGTTCACTTGTGTTTTGTGCGAGTATATGAAATTGTCGGCATCTGTTTGTCTGTCTTGTTTTGTACTGAGAAGTAATGTTGCTGTTTTGTGGATGGATGATGGTTGGTTGGCCTGTAGTCTTTTTGTTTATTCAATTCTCGCACTCTCACAGTGAGCAGGCAGGCACTGTCTCTTGCCTCTCACTGTGTGTCTGTTGTATGTTGCTGCTTAGCCCCCCATAAAGAGCCACTGTGAGAGAGAATAAACATAACACAGCAGTAGCAGTCAGCACACGACAGAAAGGAAACATTCTTGTGTGACATTGCCAGATGAGAAAAAAGCGTTGTCAAATGTATGAGAATAACAGCCAGAGGTGGAAAGTTGTTATTATTGATATTTACTTAGTGAAGGCTATAGAATTTATGAGATGAACAATTGAATATAAAGATTGGTTTAAAAATGCAAATGCAAAAATGGAGTTGGTATTAAAATCTCTTGGAATTAGTGCAAAACACTTCAAAAACATGAAACTATAAAAATAGTAAATTTTCCATCTATTGTTTTTCTTAAATCTTTCAAATTATTTTAATTATATGATTTCACATAATATTAAAAAAAACAAATAGTCTATTAAATCGTAAGAAAAACTGCTAAAAATGTTCAATATAATTATTAAAAATTTCTACAAAAAAAAAAAAAAAAAAACAAAAAAAAATTTTGTAAAAAAAACAAATTTTAAATAAAAGTCTAAGAGAAAGAAATTAAAATTTTCTTATCTTTCCAAAAATTATTTCAAATATTTTGGAAATAGGGTCTGAGAACTACCAACAACTTTTTAGGAAAATATGATAATAAAAAATTATAATACAAATTAAAAAAAAAAAAAGAATTTGAATCAAAAATCTCTTGATGTGCCTTACATCGAATATGTGTTGCTATAGTTTTTAAACTTTAATCTAAATTCAGACTCGATTATATTTTCATGGCAAAATTAACCACTGTGTATTCCGATGGAAGAATTTTTAAGCTAGAGATGTCAACAGGAACATTTTCGCTAAGGTATGTGGCGAGCTAGAAAAAAAATATTCTACCAATAAAGACGCAATACGAACAAGATATAAATGCTGGTGTTACATATCCATCACATTATGGAACGGCACCCACCACCTAAGTATGTCAGGAAGGATCTTCATGATCTGGATAGAGATGTCCAGATGTACAAAAGAGATGTCCAGAGTTGGATCAATAGGCCTATCAAGCAGGTTTGAACCGTAAGCACCAATCCTTTGAGACCACCCGTCTATCATAGCTTCATCTACCACGACAAACCTGAAATCTGAAGGGTGTAATTGCCTCTATTTGTATTGGACATTAATTGATGGCACGGTGGACAATATCTACCCGGTATGTGGTAATGGTCCACATGACACGCTACACCTCTTCAAATGCCCAGCCAAACCCACTCAGCTAATCCCAATTTCACTTTGGGCAGGACACAGCCTTTTTGAAAGCCTTTTTTAAACTTTAATCTAAATTCAGACTCGATTATATTTTCATGGCAAAATTAACCACTGTGTATTCCGATGGAAGAATTTTTAAGCTAGAGATGTCAACAGGAACATTTTCGCTAAGGTATGTGGCGAGCTAGAAAAAAAATATTCTACCAATAAAGACGCAATACGAACAAGATATAAATGCTGGTGTTACATATCCATCACATTATGGAACGGCACCCACCACCTAAGTATGTCAGGAAGGATCTTCATGATCTGGATAGAGATGTCCAGAGGTACAAAAGAGATGTCCAGAGTTGGATCAATAGGCCTATCAAGCAGGTTTGAACCGTAAGCACCAATCCTTTGAGACCACCCGTCTATCATAGCTTCATCTACCACGACAAACCTGAAATCTGAAGGGTGTAATTGCCTCTATTTGTATTGGACATTAATTGATGGCACGGTGGACAATATCTACCCGGTATGTGGTAATGGTCCACATGACACGCTACACCTCTTCAAATGCCCAGCCAAACCCACTCAGCTAATCCCAATTTCACTTTGGGCAGGACACAGCCTTTTTGAAACTGGAGTTAAAAGCAGAACCAGATTAGAGCTAAATACACATCAGTACAAGACATCTATTTTGTCAAAAAAGACACCCGATAATTTTACGAATTTCATATGAAACACCCATAAAATGTTCCGAATTCAAATCAAATGACAGTTTTTTTTCCGAATTTGTGTAAATTCCTCAAAATTGTCCTTTTTATTTTAGAGATTGTGCAAAGGCCTCAAAATGCGCGTTTTTTGATCGTAAATTAATTCCGATTTTTTCTCCGACAATGCATTCTAAATTTTTTAGCACCTTTACAGAATTTAGTTTCGACTTTGTTATGAAATCCGTACAAGAAGCAGGAAAATTTACAGTTTTGTACCGAATTCGAAAAAAATCGTAAGAAATTGGTAACATTAATAAGCCTCTATAACTATTTTATTTTAATAATCCCAAAAATATATTTTATTTGTATATGAAGTGAACCTAAATGGGACCCACAAATATGAATAAATTTGATTTGATTTTCACTTTCTCTGCATATCGGCGATTATAGGAAATATATTCTCACTTTTCACATCTTTTAATATATTCGCTGTTTTAGAAAATATATTCTTACATTTTAAAATTTGTAATATATCTCCTCTGTTCCAGAAACATGCAAAAAATTTATATTTATCCAAATTATTTTCATCCAATTGTTCTACTATGAAGATACGAGAGTGTAGAACATTTTAATATAATAAAATCAGGAATTACGGAAATGCCTGTTTATAACATTTGTTTCCAAACAGTACTGCTGATATTTTTGGGTTTTCTGAGTAGAAGTAATTTTCTCGACAATTTACTGTTTGAAAGAATTGTGGTATTAGTCCGAAGAACATTAATTATAATTTTCCATCCCTGACCACTTAAAAATGATATTTTATTAATCCTCAATTTCCCCTATATCAAGAATAATGCCATACAAAATTCTCCATCTGGCAATGCTGTGCTATTCCATATGACGTCGTTATTCTCTTGCTCTTTCACATTACAAAATGACAACATTCGCGCCCTGTGTTTCTCGCTCTCTCAATGTTCTCCTCCGTTGTTTATGTATGCCCCCCACAACAAACGAATTGTTGAATTCTTGTGTTGGGGTTTTTGTGTGTTTTTGGGAAATGTCGGCGGCATTCTCCGAAATTGTTGTGATGATGACGTCGTTTTTTTGTTGTTGTTGTCGTTCTTCTACCTCAGCCGTTGTGTGTGTTGTTCTTATTGCTGTGTGTTAATGGCTTGTTTTTGTGCTCTGTACCAACAACAATGTCTCTTTTATTGGGTGTGTTGCGTTGTTGTTGTTCTGCTGTTGCTCTAACTCAATTGCATAGTGCTGTTGTTGTTGATGTGAAGTTCTTTTTGATGCTGGCTGTTTTTGTGTGTGTATTGTTTGTTTTTGGTTGTGGATATTGTGTTGTTGTAATGTTCACAACACACCAGTGGAGGAAAAATGTCTTGTCTGGCCATCCTCCAATTCCAATTGAAGTAGAAGAAAATGAAAGAGATAATCAATGACAATGTCGATGATAATGACGTTTTTAAGAAACCAGATGATAGGGAGATGCTGCCCCGGCTGCTGTTGTTATCAGTGATGATAACAAAACTATGTGAGAAACTATTTGAATGGGTATTTTGTGTATTTGACATATGGGAGATTTTGTTGGGGGATG